TGCCTTTCTCTTCTCTATATGACCAAAGATAAGAGATATATCTCTTCAGCAAAATATACTCCACCAAGAGATGCCCCCCCCCAATTAAACTTTAGGGAACTAATTAGCATTATTTGGGGGATTATTTTTTTCCTATTTTCTGTCTCCATCTGTACTGACTAACAGGATGGCTAACTTCAAGTGAACAGAAATGAAATTTGGGGCCGGCCCTGTGGCCGAGTGGTTAAGTTAGCGCGCTGTGCTTTGGCGGCACAGGGTTTCGCCAGTTCCGATCCTGGGCGTCGACATGGCACGGCTCACCAAGCCATGCTGAGGTGGCATCCCACATGCCACAGCTAGAAGGACCGACAACTAAAAACATACAACTTTGTACTGGGGGGCTTTGGGGAGAAAAAGGAAAAATGAAATGTTTAAAAAAAAAAAACATTTAGGGGCCAGCCCACTAGCGCAGCAGTTAAGTGCCTGCATTCCGCTTTGGCGGCCCGGGGTTCACCGGTTCAGATCCCAGGTGTGGACATTGCACCACTTGGCATGCCATGCTGTGGTAGGCATCCCACGTATAGAGTGGAGGATGATGGGCATGGATGTTAGCTCAGGGCCAGTCTTCCTCGGAAAAAAAGAGGAGGATTGGCAGCAGTTAGCTCAGGGCTAATCTTCCTCAAAAAAAAAAAAAAATATATCAAAAAAAATTAAAAAAAACAAAGGGGGCCAGCCTGGTGACGCAGCGGTTAAGTTTGCACGTTCCACTTCGGTTGCCAGGAGTTTGCCGGTTCAGATCCCAGGTGCAGACATGGCACCACTTGGCAAGCCATGCTGTGGCAGGTGTCCCACATATAAAGTAGAGGAAGATGGGCACGGATGTTAGCTCAGGGCCAATCTTCTTCAGAAAAAAAAAAAAGAGGAGGATCAGTAGCAGTTGTTAGCTCAGGGCTAATCTTCCTCAAAAAAAAAAAAAGAGAAATGAAATTTGGCACAGCACCTTAACTAATACTTTGTTTAGCATAATCTGTGGACAGAAATGGACAATATCCTGTTAATATTGTTTCTCTCTGGGAATTAAGAATAGATTAGGGTGGCTGGAAAGTTGGTGGTATCTTTTACATTAAAAAATAAACTTTCAGATTAAAGTATAATTTGTATTCACAGATTACACACATTTTAAGTATACAGGACAATGATTTTATGAATTTTTACAAGGTGAACACACTCCTTTGACTATCCCTAAGCCACAAAATAGCACATTAACAGCACCCCAAGCTCTTCTTGTGTTCCTCCCGGTCATACTCCCTCCCCTGCAAAAAGTAACAGCCGTGCTGAGCATTAAAAGTACTATCTAGATTCATTGGCCTGTTTGGGAACTTTATGTGAATTTTATTCCTTGTGTCTGATGTTTTTCACTCAACATTCTATTAGTGAGAATAGATGTATTTTATTGTATGCACTCACATTTTTTTTGTTTTTATTTTTTAATTTTTTTTTTTTTTTGAGGAAGATCAGCCCTGAGCTAACATCTGCTGCCAATCCTCTTTTTGCTGAGGAAGACTGGTCCTGAGCTAACATCCATGCCCATCTTCCTCTACTTTATACGTGGGATGCCTACCACAGCATGGCTTGCCAAGCAGTGCTATGTCCATACCCGGGATCCGAACTGGCGAACCCCAGGCGGCTGAAGCAAAACGTTCGAACTTAACCGCTGCGCCACCGGGCTGGCCCCACATATTTTTTTTTAAAGATTGGCTCTGAGCTAACATCTGTTGCCAATCTTCCTTTTTTTTCTTCTCCCCAAAGCCCCCCAGTACGTGGTTGTATATTCTAGTTCTAAGTACTTCTGGTTGTGCTATGGGGACGCTGCCTCAGCATGGCTTGATGAGCGGTGCTAGATCTGAGTACAGGATCCGAACCAGTGACCCCCTGCGACGCCAAGGCGGAGCACGCAAACTTAACCACTCAGCCATGGCGCCAGCCCCTGTACTCACATAGTTGTTGCTGTATAGTTTTGCATTGTAACCACAATTTATTTTTTCATTGCTTTCAGTTTTTAATTTTTATAAGCAATGCTTCTAGAAAAAGTTTTTCATCATTTTATCTTATAAACTTTTATACTAATTCTTTTTTCTTTTTTTTTTTTTTTACCACAAACGTGACTTAGTTAAAACAAAATAAAACAAGCAGTAATTGATGAGGATTGCTCCGTGTCCTTAACAATTCTTAACCTTTTGACTATCCATTCTTTGTACACTTTCCCAGTTTCTCTTTTTGTTCCACTTCCCAAATGTGTTTAAACTTTAAGGTTGAGGCTCTGTTGCTTTCCTTTTTCTACACTAGCTTCTTTAGAGGGCTATTTGCTGTGAGGGCTTCTCGTGTTACTTCTAGACAGATGATTTAAATCAGTGTCTCTTCCCCATCCCGCTCTAACAGGCATCTATTGGTCCTTAAGCCCTACATTTCATTTCAGTCATCTTGCCTTTCTTGTACACTATTCTAGCACCAACCCTATGGCTTTATACTTGGCTTAATTGTGAAAGGCAGAGTTTTTTATGCAAGAGTCCCTGTCCCTATAAACAATTTGAGTTACCCCAAATCAGCATGTTCACCTTATTCTGGCAGCTCAGTCTTCTGGGATCCCAGAAAATAATGCAGCTCTCACCAGGCGCCTTTCAGAAACTGAGCTGGTTATAGGCACAGCCATGAGGGCTCCTGTATAATCCCATAGGCACGAGTCTAAGAACTCCTTTAGACAGCTGGGCAACCCGAGCTAGGGGAGGGGAAAAGAGGGGGGACATGACAGGGCGGGTATTGGAGAGTACTCTCAAGGCAAGAAATGGGCATAGAGCACTGTAACCGTGGCTGGTTCCAGGAACTAGATGGGGACTTGGAAAACGTCTGAGAACACACTTCAAGCATGGAGGGTGGGGAAGGGAGGTCCTAAGGCTTAGGACCCAGGAGAGAAGCTTCACTTGCTGGGGTCAAAGGTCAGTACTGGTCTTCCTGTTATCTACAAGGTAAAGTCCAGCTTTCCTTGTTTAATGTTTTAATTCTTCCACAGTCTGGCGTGGTTCTCTAACAGGTGTGGAAGGACCTTGATTCAGCAGGGTGCTCGAGCTAGTTCCCACTGGCTCCCAAGAGCCAACTGTGGGCATAATTCCACGTTCAGTGATGTCACTCTGGTAGCTTGAAATTTGTCATGGTGGCTTATTGGCAAATGCTACAAATCATGCTTTTCTGATTTTTGTTTTTGAGAGCCAGGTAAGCATTTAGCCATATACCACTGCTTAGATTGCTGTTGAAGGGATGTCTTCTCACTAGAGTGAAAGGAATGTTTTGTGAGGGCCCCCAAAAGAGATGTGTTCAGCGTGTGTTCTGGACAGAGTATTTTTTGGAGCTGGGCAATTTGAAGAAAGAGACAGAAAATTTATAGGAAACAGAATTTTAGGAAGGTAGGTTTATATAGTTACACTTAATTTAACTGAAGCCTTTGGCATCAGGCAAACATGGAAAAGCTGGAAATCTCTCTGATTATTTTTATAAATTCGGATGACTTTAACAGTACTTGATAAGGATACTACAATAAACAAAACTGGAGAATATTATCACTTATGAATATAGATGCAAAAATTGTACAAAAATATTAATAAATATAATCCAGCAATATATCCTATTAATAATAAAGAATGCCCAATTCAGGTTTATTGTAGGAACACAGTGATAGTTCAATATTAGGAAAACTATCAATATAAGTAATTATATTAATAAGTTTTAAGAAATCATATCAATAGATTTTGAAGAGATAATTGATAAATTTCATTAGCCATTCCTAATAGAACTCTGAAGTAAAGAAAAGAATTTAGGGGCTGGCCCAGTGGTGTAGCAGTTAAGTTCACACTTCTGCTTTGGTGGCCCGGGGTTCGCCAGTTTGGATCCCAGGTGCAGACCTATGCACTGCTTGGCAAGCCATGCTGTGGCAGGCGTCCCACCTACAAAGTAGAGGAAGATGGGCACAGATGTTAGCTCAGGGCCAGTCTTGCTCAGCAAAAAGAGGAAGATTGGTGGCAGATGTGAGCTTAGGGCTAATCTTCCTCAAAAAAAAAAATAAATAAATAAAAATTAAAAAATTTTTTAAAGAAGAAAAGAATTTATACATTTGACTATAGTAAAATGAAAACTTCTGTCTATTGAAGGATACCACATGCAAAGTGAAAATATAATCTACAGACTTAGAGAAAAAGTTTGCAATATGGAAAAGAATTCTTATTTGGAAGACTTAAAGAACTTCTACAAATCAGTATGTAAAAGACAAAGAACCTGAAAGCAAAACTGGCAAAAGATTTGAACAGATAATTTAATGAATAAAAAGATACTTAGTATCACTATTAATAAATTAAGTGTAAATTAAAACAATGTGAAATACCATTATATATCCATCAGATTAGCTAAATTTCTGAAGCATGACAATACTAAGTGTTGACAAGGATGCAGAACAACTGGAATTTTTATAGACTGCTGGTGGGAGTAAAATTGGTACAGTCACTGTGGAGAGCAATTTTGCAACATAAGCTAAAGCTGAAAATATGCATACTATATTGGACCCAAACCTTGTGCAGTTCCTCAGATTCCTGTGACCACATCCTTCTTTCTCAAGGCACCTCTGTCTCCTAGTTTTTACTTATATTACTGCCTTTGCTGGCGACCTTGCCAAGCTCCCTGAGCTGGCTGGAGTCTGAGTTGAAAGCCCAGACTTACATGGCCCACATACTTATGCCAAGCCCTATTCACAAGGAGTGGTCTCTCCACTTCCAGACTTGGATATGATGCTACACACAGGTTATAGGATTTGGCTTTCAGAGAGACTTCCAGGACGCCAGGTGATGCAACCCAGAAATGCAGGGGCGGGAAAGGTAGTCAACTCCTTGTGGGGTGAACCTTGACCTATGGGGAGAGGGAGAAGGGGAGAGAGATGGGTAGATTCTATAGATTATGCTGTGATGCTCTTTCTCTTTCAGATATTCTGGAGAAAGATTCAAATCTGTGTGAACACATCTGCTAAGTGATCCACTATTTTTTTGTGGCTTCTTGTGATGGAGGGGTGAGCATGGTAATGAATTGCATTGTATTGCTTTGTATCTTTTCTTGTGTCCCTTCCCTGTTTCCTTTTCTCACCGCCCTGGTCTTGCACCTTCTAAATGAAGTGGCAGTACCTTAATCCTTGCCTCAGGCTCTGTTATTTATTTATTTATTTATTTATTTATTTTATTGTATTTTTTTTTGAGGAAGATTAGCCCTGATCTCACATCTGCCACCAATCCTCCTCTTTTTTTGCTGAGGAAGACTGGCCTTGAGCTAACATCCATGCCCATCTTCCTCTACTTTATACGTGGGACACCTACCACAGCATGGCTTGGCAAGTGGTGCATAGGTCCACACCTGGGATCCAAACTGGTGAACCCCGGGCCGCTGAAGCAGATCGTGCAAACTTAACCTCTGCACCACCGGGCCAGCCCCCTTAGGCTCTGTTTTCTCAGGACTCAGGCTGAGATACTTACAATTCTACTCCTGGTTCCAAACCATAGAGACCTTACATATGTGCATAAGCAGACATCTATAAGAATATTGATTATAGCCTTGTTTGTAATAGGAAAAATTTATAAACAATTAACTATTACTGTGGTGATTTATACAAGGGGATAATATACCTCATTGAAAATAAAGGAACAGGAGCTGCATGTGTAACTATAACATGGAGGGCTAGTTCTCAAAGTGATCCAGTGGAGCAAAAACAGTAGTAGCAGAGAAACTCATATTGTACACAACCATTTATATAAACTTTACAAATATAGAAAAACAACATCATCCAAATTTCTGGATATATGCATTTATAGTAGAAATATAAAAATATTTTTGGGAATATAAAAATATTTTGGGAAGTACATACTTCAAGCTAGTTTCCTTTGGAGAGAGAGGAAGGAAAACGAAATCTCAGCAGCAGAGTCTGTTGGGAGCATCAGTGACGTCTGTAAAGCTTCATTTCTTAAGTTGTGTGGTAGAGCACAGATATCATGGTCTGAAAATAGCCTGTGCTGAATATCTTTATTTTTCCTCTCTAGATTCAAGGTCTCCTTCTCTAGACTGCTGTGTGCTCTGAGAGGCAGAGGCTGGCCTATATGAACTGTACCAACAAGCTTCCTTGCTCTCTGGCTTCCTATTGGATCTGGCCAGGGGGGAGCATCCAAAGGACATCAGAGGGCAGGAAAAGAGTAAGGCTCGGGTGTCATCCTCATGTTTCTATTTTACTTAGTGTTTTCTTATTTACTTAAATATTCTACAAAAGCATACAGAAGATATGGCAGATCCTGACTAGGTGGTTGACATGGGTTATGGTGGAAGTGGGATGGGGTGGAGGTGCTGATACAGGTGAAAGGGAGGGAAAGAAGGAAGAGGAGCCAAACCCAGAAGGAAAAATAAGATTCAAGCCATGCTGTGGCAGGCGTCCCACTTATAAAATAGAGGGAGATGGGCACAGATGTTAGCTCAGGGCCAATCTTCCTCAGCAAAAAGAGGAGGATTGGCAGCACATGTTAGCTCAGGGCTAATCTTCCTCAACAAAAAAGAAAAGAAAAAAAGATCTAATAGTTGGATCTGGGCATTTTGTTAAAGCTCCATAGGGAATTCTGTTTCTCATCTAGACGGAACAGCCAATGCAAACTCTTTGAGGCAGGAGGCCCGTGTGGCTGGAGCTGAGTGACTGAGTGGCAGGGTAGTAGAAGCAGAGGTGAGAAGTAAAGGTGGGGTGGGGGGGAGTGAAGCGGGACACTATAAGAAATTGAAAGGATTTTGGCTCTTCCTCTGATCTCTGAACTGACAAAATTGTTTTGCTAAACTCCTCTGCAAATTCTCTTATCACTTGGGAGGGAATTTGTCAAATCCTCTTCCTCCCTCTCTCCACCACCCTGATGAGTAGTCTCCCTATCCTTGAGGCTGAAGGGTGGAGTATCTCTAACCTTCATTGGTGGCACAAAGGATTAAGTGCATAGTTTCCAAGTGAAAACTGGAAGAGCAAGTCAGATCTGGGTTGCCAGTCTAGTAGGATAAATAAAGAAAAGGGAGCCAAGATATGGAGCCAAGGGAAGGGCTTTGAGGCCCCAGGCCCAACAAGAGGGCGGAAGGGGCAGCAGTGCTGGCCTGCGGGAGAGAGGGATTCAGGAAATGAGGTGCAGATGCGGGCAGTTTACTTTATCTGAGTTAGAAATCTTGCAATCATTCAGAGCAGCTTCTTGCTCTCGCACAATCTTGTCATCAGTCTTGGGTTTCAATTTCCTTTTACCAGTCTTCCATTTTTTTCATTCTGAAGATATTCCCATTGATAAAGAAATCAGAAGTGAAATTGTTAAAATTCCATTTTCTTAGTGCTTTCTCAACTCAGCTGTCTCCAATCTCCTTCTCCTGCAGCCACAGCAATTTTTCTACTATGCAAGTCTGATCCTGTTCAGCTTTCTCTCCCCTTCAGAATAAAATATAAACTTTTTAATTTTTTTTTTGACCAATGAGGCTTCCCTAATTTTTTGCCCTCTTTATCATTTTGGCCTCATCTCTTGCCTCTTTGCTATCCCTCCTTGCACCCTGGCCATTCCAAGATATGCAATTCGTGGTCAGAGCCGAGTTTCTCAGCAGCAGCACTATTTTGGCTCAGATAATTTATTTGTCGTGGAGGCTGTCTTGTGCGTTGTAGGATGTCTAGGTGCATTCCTGACCTGTACCAACTAGATACTGGTAGCGCGTACCCAGTTGTGACAACCAAGAATGCTTCCAGACTGCCAAATAGCCCCTGGGGATCAGAATCGCCTTTGGTTAAACACTGGGATGAGGCGTGCTGTGTCGTGTCCGCCCTCCCTTTCTATTCTTTCAGCATGGAGAGACCGTCTGCCTGTGACCATCCTGGACAACGCCTGCTCGTCTCTCAGCATCTCCGCTCAGTCCTGCTTCCTTGGTGAAGTCTTCCACAACTCCCAAGGTGGAGAGTTCGGTGAGCTGGCCCTTTAGAGCAGGGTCCAATTGTATTCTAATTCTTTTGGTTTGCCTATCTCCATATCAGACCGAGGTTTAGAGGGCCAGACTGTGTTTTAACATTTTGTCCTCAGTACCTAATTGATAAGTACCTGGCTGAAAATATTAACAATATCTATGTGCATCTTTAAAACTTTACAAGTTTGAGTGTTGGGTTAAAGCAATTTAGAAAAGACATTTAAAGGCAAGTTAATTTTTTTGTCTTAGCTGATGTGATGTCCATCATATCCAGGTTTTAATTTGTCATTGCATCTGAAATATGATACTTCGTATATATTTTGTGAATAGTTGCCTGTAATTATTAAACTTGCTTTTGAATACAATTTATAGATTGTCTTGCATATCTACACCCAAGCTTTTAAAACTAAACAATTTATGTAAATCTTATAAAGATACTGTATAATACTATGTATGTTAGATCCATGTCTCTTTTCAATTTGAGGATTTTATATGGAAAGTCATGGGATACATGTACTTTTGAATAACCACCTTCCCAGAGCCATACAGTTATTTGACAATAATTTGGTATTTCTGCCTTTTGTTATTTAGGGCCAACCATGCTTAAAAAAGGTATTTTTAGGGGCCAGCCCTGTGGCACAGTGGTTAAGTTCACACGTTTCAGTTCAGTGGTCCAGGGTTTGCTGGTTCAGATCCTGGGTGTGGACCTACACAATGCTTGTCAAGCCATGCTGTGGCAGGTGTCCCACGTGAAATAGAGGAAGATGGGCACAGATGTTGGCTCAGGGCCAATCTTCCTCAGCAAAAAGAGGAGGATTGGCAGCAGATGTTAGCTCAGGGCTAATCTTCCTCAAAAAAAAGAAAGTAAAAAGGTATTTTTATTTAGGAAGTTTGTTATCTATTGGTGATAATTGTTAAAAATCCTTTGAACATTTCTATGTAGTGCTATACTTTGCCAATGCTGCCATCTTCTGGACGCCATTAAGCACTGTAACAGTCAGAGGAGCTGACAGTGCAGAGTGGTTTCCAAAAGTAATGTGTATGTAGTGATAAAAAAAAGCTTTCATTTTCTTTCTTTTTTCTTTTTTTAGTTTGAAAAAAGCCTGGATATATATATTTTTTCGATTACCCTCATAAAATACTTGACTATCTCCTTACTTTCCTAACCATGTACTGCTGAAGTCAGAATGGTATAGGGTGTAAAATGGATATGCTAAACGTCTTAATTTTGCCCCTCTGGATCTGTTATCCACGCTTTCTACTCTGCTTTGTGTCTTGGGAGGCAGAGGCTGACCTATATGGACTATAGTAACAAGATTCCTTGACTTTCAACTTCTAACTGGATCTGGGCCATAAGAAGCATTCAAAGGAAATCAAATGGGGAGAAGGGAGTAGAGCTGGGTCCCTCATATGAGGTCACAGGGCTCTGTCCCTTAACTGAAGGTCATATCTCCCGGCAAGGGCCTTACCAAAATAGGTCAGTCTGCCTTAGGGAAGTAGTAGTCACTTCCTCCTTGTATTCTTCAGGGCTGTTATGAAACCTAGACACTTCACATCCCCTGTGGTTCCCTACATTCTGCTCATACCTTTGTAAATGATCCTTTCATTAAATATTCCTTAAATCACCCAGCTTGAGTATATTTCCTGTTGGGACACTGACCAAAACAGTGGGAATAATAATAGCAGTTAACCCAGAGGTGTGTTATAAGGGTTAAATAAACTAAGACCTGGCTAGAGCTTAAATAATGGCTGAGAAAAGAGATAAAGATGAAGGCAGTGGGACAGAAAATGATAATGATGGAGGAAAAAGATGTTGCAATACTAAGATAATTGCTATCCTTCAGTGGTTAGAAGCCCCCCAAAATGGAATACTTATATTGAAATATCTTTATAGAAAAGATTCAGAGATATACAAGAAAAAAGATTTCCTGCTATAAAGGTGTAGCTGAATCGGCAGATGAAAAGTTCACGCTGTACAAGAAAAACAGCTTTGGGATGATCAACAATAAGACATGAGAAAAAGAAAGAATTCTTTAAGCAACCAGCTCCCCCTAAAAAAAAGTCCCCTATGAGGAGGAAAAATAAAAGATTGGTTTATACTAATATTTAATTCCAGAAGACATTAAGGTCTACAAAATTCTAAGGGAAAGATGACACAAGATTATAACCAAATACAGCTTTCCTTAGTGTCAGGGAATTCCTTGATTAAAAGATGTCTATTTTTGCAATATTGTATTTCACAATAGGCATTCCTAAGGGAGTCTTAATTTTATCTGTGGTCATCAGTGTATATTGTACCATGATGGTAAAAGCTTATCTATTAAACAAATTATAAACATGTTTTTAGAAAATACCTGGTAAAATGACACAATGCTTGTAATTTGTGAACTAAACCATGTATTTGAAGTCATGCACCCCCTTTTTTCAATCTTCAGAGACATGTACCATTTGTCAGGGACGTCATCCTTGGTTGTGAAAAAAGACTCAAAAGTTTACACGGTGTATTTTTACCCTTACTTGTTTATGCTCATACATCTCCATTATATAATATGTTAATATGGGCTCAAATAAATAGGATTCCATACACAAAATTATAGCCAGCTGTTATGGGCTGAATTGTGCCCTCCCTCACTCAAATTCATGTGTTAAAGTCCTGGTCCCAGTACTGCAGAATATGACTGTGTTTGGTGATAGGGTCTTTATAGGGGTAATTAAGTTAAAATGAAGTTATTAGGGTGCATCCTAGTCCAATATGACTGTGTCCTTATAAGAAGAGGGAATTTGGACACTGATCTGTGCGGAGGGAAGATGTGTGAAGATAAAGGCAATGAAGTAGGACTAGGTGTTCTGAAAATCTGCCACCACCTGTTCAAGCCAATAGCTTATGCTCAGTACATTTTTGAGACTGATATTATATGTACTGTGATGGCCGTTGTGTCTGCTCAACACAATATTTGTGACGAGCAGCTCAGTTCCTTTGGTCATTTGAGGCTGATGATTAGGCATTTAATCTTTACCAAGGCTCCTTAGAACTCCAGGACACATTTCTTCAGAGATGTTAGCTGCAGGAGGAAACATGGCTCTTCCCCACTACTTTAGATGGCTACACTGTAATTCTCCTATTGCTACTTTCCAGCGTTCGATCTGAATAATACTCAAGCTGCTGCAAAAGCTGGGTATCATTGGCTCTGCTCAGCCATAAGGCCTAAGTGGCAGAACAGCTTCCTTCATTACATCCAGGACCTGTTGCAGAGTTTTTTATTGCTTGCGGGCCCCTTCAAACTGGCAGCACACTCAAATATGTATTTATCACCCTCAAAATCAAGAGAGACCCAAAAAGTATATCCCTTTTCTCCTCGAGAAGTGCTTTGTTCAGCAACTTGTCCCTTATTTTGGAGGAGCTGTCCTACATGACCCAGACCACTCAATCCCTAGAAACTTCTCTTAGGTGGCAGGACCGTGATTTTAGTGGGGTTTATCTCCCATCCGATGCCACCTACGTGTGTCACTCTGGTAAATAGGATGCTTATTATTTCTCGGGTATCAGGTTGACTCAGCATGATGTCATCCATGTTGTAGACTGACAAGATGTTCTGTGGTATTTCAAGATAATCGGAGTCTCTGTGAACCAGACCAGAGATTGATATTTTCTGTAAAGAGCCAAATAGTGGATATTTTAGGCTTTGTGAGCCATACGATCTCTGTCGCAACTGTTCACCTCTGTGGTTGTAGCGTGAAAACAGCTGTAGGTAATACATAGCTACCACATGAATGTGAGTGTGTGTCAATAACACTTTGTTAATAAACGCTGAAATTTGAATTTCATATAATTTTCATGTGTCATGACATATTATTCATTTTTGGATTTTTGTCAACCCTTTAAAAATGTAAAAATCATTCTTAGCTTGTGGGCCATACGAAAATAAATGGCGGGCTGGTTTTGGCCTATAGGTTGCCACTTGCTGACAGCTGGATTGAATTATGGCAGAGAGCAAGAAAATTGCCATAGACAACTGCGGCAAACAATGAAAGCATATTGCTGACCCTACCAGGTGAAAGCAAACTGCTCGTGCTTACTTTTATACTTGGTCATACTGAAATAAGCAAAGGATGTGTCAATAACTTCATAGTAGATGGGAGGGGCTATATTAATTCATTCCATGAAAGAAGCCAAATCTGAAATAGTAGCTGTGGTTGAAGTCACCACCTAATTAATTTTATGATAATCCATAGTCATTCTCTAAGATACTTCAGTCTTCTGAATATGTCATAAAGGCAAGTTAAATAGTAATATAATAGGAGTCATTATCCTAGAACCTCTCAGATTTTTGATAGTAGCACAACTCTCTGACATTCCCCCAGGAGTTTCAAAATGTAATTAAAAAAACAGTTAGTTAGAAATATTTATGTATAGCATAATAATTAAAATATATATGTTTATATGTGTATAAAATATATACAAATATGTATTACAATGTTGAATTGGTTATTACCTGGTTGTGTGATTATGGGTAATTTTTTTTTTCTTAAAGATTGGCACCTGGGCTAACAACTGTTGCCAATCTTCCTTTTTCTTTTTCAAAGATTGGCACCTGGGCTAACAACTGTTGCCAATCTTTTTTTTTTCCCCCTGCTTTATCTCCCCAAACCCCGCCTGTACACAGTTGTATATCTTAATTGCACATCCTTCTAGTTGTGGGATGTGGGACGCCACCTCAACGTGGCCTGATGAGTGGTGCCATGTCCGTGCCCAGGATCCGAACCCTGGGCCGCTGCAGCAGAGCGCATGAACTTAACCACTCGACCACGGAGCCAGCCCCTGGGTAATCTTTTTACTTTTGTGCTTTTTAATATTTTCCGTTACTTATAGTAAAAATGTATTCCCTTACAGTCAGAAAAGACTCTAATTTATTTTTGTAAGAATCACTGTTAAAGTCAATACTAAATTTATCTGGATGAGGTATATGAAATAATCCTGAGAATAGTTGATACCAGAGCTAACCTCAGCAGATGTAAATATTTGAGTCATAATCACTGTACCAATTTCAATTAGCTCATTATTGTTATTTTATGATTTAATTAAATGTTTGAAGTAACATACATCCAGTCTTTATTATTATGCATATATTTTCAAAGAGAATTCTAAAAGCTCTGGCTTCCAAGTGAAAGAGTATTAATGAATGGAGCCCATTTGTAAATGCTTCTTAAACTATGTTAATGATGTGTGAAATATGGGGCACTAAACTAACTAGGCAATTCAGTGATGCCTTCATCAACCACGGTGCTGCACGTGAAGACGGTTTGTCCCTGTCGTGCTGTGGTGAGGCAGAGGGTGTGTGAATGCTCGGTCACCACTGCACACCTAGACTCCTAGTGCCCCTCTTAGCACTGCCACTATTAATTAGAGAACGAGGAAAAAAGATTATGAATGTTTGTTTGTTTGTCTTCTTAATATTTTCCTTGAGTTTTCTCTATCTTCTGAGGCTTTAAAATTCTAGCTTGGAAATCATAGCTCATTCCTGGGGTCCTAGTGATTTTACTGACACTCAGCATAATGAAGAGAAAGACTTTCAACAAGTGCTTTCTTCAAGAGGGCCTTTCTAGGCTTTTCTCACCTGGGTGTGTTGACTGGTGCTCATAGTGAGGATGAAAGCAAGGTATTGTCGGAGAAGGTAAATTCAGGGAAAGGCTTTGACCTCCTGAAAATGAGAGGGTCTTAGACACTTAGACAAGTTATCTGAAGTGAGAAAACCCTTCCGCAGCCCTTATGTCTGGGGGAGAAGGTGTGTAGAAACAGGAAGGGAGCACTGGGCTGATAGTTTCAGTTTTTCAATGTTCAGAAGCTGTGATGAGTTATATGCTCTCTAGGGCCTTGGAGCGCCTCTTCCTCTCTGGCGCCCTGGCTTACGTCTCTCTAACACTAACCACGCTGGGTTCTAATAACTGACATCCTGGGTGGCACTTGTGCCTCTCCCTGCCTGCCTGCTCACCAAACTGTGAGCTGCTTGAGATCAGGACCATGTCATATTCTACTTTGTATCCCCAGCACCCAGTAACTGGCATGCGCAGGGCACGTGAAAACAACCTGCATGAATGAACGATTGGGAAAGACTGGTCTGCGGGGACTCTAGCTGTAGGCTCATCTTCCTCAGTAGTGGGTGTAACGGGGATAAGAGGAAGACAGGAAGCAAATATGTTTTGAGCTCCTACATTTAGCCATTGCATATTTTTACTTAATACCTTTAAGATGTGACATAGGTATAATTATGGCAATTTTACAGCACGTAGAGTGTGTAATTTGCCTCAGCAAGTGACCAACTCTGAATATGAACCCCAGGTTTCTCTCAACTTTATAACCCAGGTTTCTTTCACTCTAATATGCCTTTAGTGACGGTAATTGGTAGCATGGTCTCTATAGAATAAGATTATTGCTACAGACTTAGGAAAATAGACCCTAGGAGTACTTGGAGTGGAAGGAGCTTTTTTGAGATCCCAGCTGTGCAAAGCTTACTTCAGCAGAGTCCTTATTTCTAGTATTCCTGCAAACGGCTTCTGAAAGAGGGTTGGTATAGGGGAGGGAGCGGGTGGCAGGATATGTGTATTGTACCATTAAGGCCTGGAAAAATTTGTTCCTTTCATCTTTCCCCAGTATGCCTCCTCCTCCATGATTCCCCCCTGATTCCACCTTTCCATTCTTGTAGTACTCAGTTTGTACCACTCACAAAGCATTGTCATACTGCCTTCTGTTGTAAATATTTATGTATCTGGCTTGACTCTGGTTCTGTATTTTCGGTACTTTTGTATCTGGTTCTAGCACAGTGTAGCAAGTAGATGGTCAATAAATGCTTGCCTTTCTCTTTCAAATTTATGCTGAAATCTTTTTAAACTATTTAAGGCATTTCCCTCTCCTCCAAATAGAGAGGAACTGCATGAAGGCGATCTCGAAGGATCCACTGATATTGTGTGGGAACACAGTGGCCGTGGTGATGTGTTGACTAGATCCTGCTTCAGTGAAGGACTGGTTGTCCCAGCTGCTGGGAGTGGTGTCAGCGGACGGCTTCGGCTGGCGCTGTCTTCAGGGATGGCTTCAGCTGTAAAGAGCTGCCTCAGCCAAGGTCACGCCTGTCCCGGGACAGCCGACCTCCAGTGACTGGTCGAGGTTGGGGTATAAAGGCCTGGCCTTTTTAATCCAGTGTGGGACAGCTCTGATGGGCCATTTTCACTTCCATTCGAGAAACTGTGCTGGGATTTTTTATTTAATTTTTCTGTCGTTTTAAAGTGGATGCAATTCATTAAAAATTTATGAATAATTATTACTGAGCCACAAAGTATTTCTGATCCATTACCTCACTTGAATAGAAGTGGGTTAAGAATCATTTTCTTTAGGAAACCCCATTTAGATAATGTTTCCTTTTTTTTCTGCCCCTCCCTATGTGATGTCAAAAGTTTGTATATTACAAAAGTTTATTGATCAGGATGCTAAGCACTTGACGCTTCTATTTTTTAAAAATTGGATTCATATAATGTGTACTGAGGGTACATGATAGAATAGAAAGCATGTGAGTATTAGAGTCAGACTGAGAGTTAATGCCCCAGCAAATATATGTAAAACACTTAGTACACGGCGAATACTTAGTGATAGTTTAATTTTCTTTTTTATATTGTGTGTTACTAATTCTGCTGGCACCTTCACAATGTTATCTCATCTCCTTGCATCCATTCTTCCCAGCAACATCTCGTCCTCTCCCCAACCATTAATTCCAAACTATAGTCAAAATGATCTTTTAAAAATGAAAATCTGATTGGTCTCTTCTCTGCTTAAAATCCTAAGACTTCTTATTGCTCTTAAGATATAGACCAAAATTCTTCCATCGGCCTCTAAGAACCTGAATGTTCTGGCCCTGTTCACCTCTCTGGGTTCATCTCTTACAAGGCTGCTTTCCTTCATTCTCTCCACTACAGCCCCTTTCACCTTCTTCTAGTTCCTCATGTGTTTGTCGTGTCTCTGCTGTTCCCACCGCCTGGAATGTTCCATTCCTGCCCATCTCTTCCCCTTGGTTAGTTAGCTCTTTCTCATCCTTTAGATCTCAGCCCAGGAGAGCCTTCTCTGAACTGCCACCCCTCCCCTCAGTTTAAATCATCGGTATACACTCCTGCATGACTATGTTCCCTCACTTCGGGGCACTTATCTAGATTTGTAACTCAGCATCAGTGTGATCAATTAATTGGTTTCTGTCTTTCCCACAGGACTGAGTTCCCTGAAAGCAGGAAGCTTGTTACTGAATTCTTATAGCCTAGTTCAGTGATTAGATCGTAGTAGGTAGCCAGTAAATATTACACGGTTTAATCAGCAAAAAACCGAGCAAGGTGTGTGAATGTGGATGTATATTGTTTCTATTATTATTATTTTTTAATAAATGAGGAAACTGAAGCTCATTTAAACCCAGTCATACCACTTGTAGGTCCAGAGTACCTTACAATTTTTAAAAAGCACATTTGTTTTTATGAATATTTAAGTATATTTCCTTTTCTCTTTGTATTATCCTTGTATTAAAACATTCTGATTGTTTTTGGGGCCGGCCGGTGGTGCAGCAGTTAAGTTGCTGCTCTCCACTTCGGATGCCTGGCATGGACCTAGCACTGCTGTCAAGCCATGCTCTGGCAGGTGTCCCACATATAAAGTAGAGGGAGATGGGCGCAGATGTTAGCTCAGAGCCAATCTTCCTCAAAAAAAAAAAAAAAGTGTAAAAAAATATATATTCTTATTGTTTTCGATCTAATGTCTCACTTTATTCTCAATTACTTGGAACTGATAAGACTCTAATATTCCTCTAAAATTCACTTATGCCTTCTGCCTTGTGAATGACAAAGCACTGCAATGACCCTGAAATATAATATAATAATGAAAGTCTAGCCTGTTGAGTGTTGCCCTGGGAATGTAAACTGATCCCAAATTGATACTCAAGTCTATTCATCAAGCATTTGAACTACACCAGATAGTTTATGCTAACAGTGTGATTTATGGCAGGAGCCTTGATCCACGCTGAATCAGTTTGACTTCTGGAGGGACTGGAGACTGAATAAAGGCAGTCACGTGGGTGCTCTATGCTGCTGTGACCAATCTCTAATAGAAACCAGGGACGCCAAGGCTGAGGTGAGCTTCCCTGGTTGGCATTATTCCACACTTGTCACACATTGCTGCTGAGGGAAGCAAATGTCTGTAAGTGCTGATTATATTGTAAGTGAATGTAAGTGAGGCCATCTTTTATGTGACTCTGTGTGACTACTCACTGCTCTGCACGTACTCTAAAATAATTCACATGCTCTCCTGATTTATGGCCTCTGCTTACGTATGTACTGCCCTATAGCTTGATCAATTAAAAATTTGTTCTACAAGTTTCTTTCCAGGAACAGGCTGACCACAGGCGGGAAATACACCTACAAGGTATCCATCACAGCTGACGGAAGAATGGAACAATAAAAGACCCTGGATTCTGTCATGCCTGAAGGCTTACTTTTCCAAACCTCCTCCTTAATCCCTATTTTCCCTATATAACTACCTCAAGATTCGGTAATTGTTGAAGATGGGTTTTTTGAGACTTTAGTCACCCATCTTCTGATTTTGCCCGCTAATCCAGTTAAAGCTTCCTTTCTTCATCCCTCACTCGTGGTGATTTATTGGCTCAGATCCCGATGAGCAGAGCCCATTGCTCAGTAACACATATGACTCCAATGGGAAAGGAAAACTAAAAGCTTATTCCTGGTCTCCCCTGGACTCCACCCTGTGGACTTTCTACCTTTGCTCATTTTAATCTGTAGCCTTTCACTATAATAAACGGTAACCATGAGTATAACATCTTTTCTGCTTTATATGAGTCCTTCTAGAGAATCATTGAATCTGAGGGTGGTCTTGAGGACCCCTGTCACAGCTGCTTAGAAAAGGAATGGACTTTGAGATTATTTGCATGGGTTTAAGACTGCTGTGTGGATCTTTTTTTGTTTTTTGAGGAAGATTAGCCCTGAGCTAACATCTGCTGCCAATCCTCCTCTTTTTGCTGAGGAAGACTGGCCCTGAGCTAACATCCGTGCCCATCTTCCTCTACTTTATATGTGGGACACCTACCACAGCATAGCTTGCCAAGCAGTGCCATGTCTGCACCCGGGATCTGAACCGGCAAACCTCGGCCGCGGAAGCAGAACGTACACACTTAACCACTGCGCCAGTACAATGCCCCAGCTGCTGTGTGGATCTTGATCAAGTTAGTCCATCAAATTGCCCCTCTATTTCTGCATAATTAAAACTAGCGTAATAACATCTATGTTACAGTATTGGTGTGCGTATTAAATGAGATAATGTAAGAAATGTGCCTGGCATGTGTTTAGTTAAAGGTAGCTATTAATATCACGGTGGGGTAAGGGGTGTAGGAATACAAAGATTGTTAAGACATATTCTCCACTGGCTAGTACTTTAGTCGGGGGGAAATCTTTGTCATGAGGACTGTGGGAAAATTAGGTTATTTCCCACTTGGTCCTCTCTTTGTAGGATGATACCTGGTTGAGTCAGCCACACAAACTATTCTTCCTACTCATAGGCACTGCTGTCCTGGGGTAGAGATGGGACAGGCAGAGAAAGAAAGGATCTTCTACCTGGGTCTAAAGCTATGTCTGAGATTCATGCACATGCACTTAGCCTGTATGTGCCTCTTTTATCACATTCGTACTAGGAAATGGACCCTCAACAGGGTACAATTGGTCTTTTCTAACTCTTTAATATTCAAGACAGCCCACAAAGTTCCTTTTAACCTTATTTTGCTTGAATAACAACACTGGAGGGTCAGGGGACACCATGAGATTGGCCTGTGCTTCTCCTCCTTTCCAGCCCCTCCCCTCCCACGCACACACTGGGCCAAGCCAAGCCCTTCCTAGGAAGTGGCACGGAGTCGTCTGTTTCCTCAAACCCCTGATGTTAGGACAATAATCTCCAAACATCTGGGTCAAGCCAGGTTATTCTTCACGTAAGGATTTCAATTAAAACTAGAACACAAATGCAATCTCAAATTTACCATAAGTTGTATTCTCTAAATCAGTTGTTTCAAACTGAGAATTCATTTTCATGAAAACCATGTCATATAATAGTAATAAAAAAACCTTTGTTTTGTTAATATTGTGCTTGACAAATAGTCTTTCACTATTGCTGCTACAGCTGAACTTGGCTTTTATGTACAACACTGTGTCCCCTGATGTTGCTCTAGGACTCCCTTTCATCTCCTGCTTCATCTTTGGGGACACAGTAAGGAGACACCGTCCAATTCGAACTTGCTAGTGGGAGCTCTCATGCCTGTAGCAGGGCAGGGGGTGGGTGTGGGGAGAGCTCCAGGGGATTATAATAGAGGAGCATATATCTGTTAGGATGCTGTCGGAATTCCTAAATAATGAGAAATTTCGTTAACTCACATAGCAATAAATCTCGGGAAGGGCTATTCCAGTGGCTTAACTGTTTTAACAAGGACCAAGACGCTCAGTTTTTATGCTCTGCTGCTCCGAGTATTGACTTCATTTCCAAGCTGGTAGCAAGACAAAGGAAAAATTTCCCAGAATTCCCACAGCAAACTTCCCCTCATGTCTCAATGACCAGAATTTGGTCATGAGTCCATGTCTAAACCAAGCAGTAGCAAAGAACATGGAATTACCATAATTTATAATCTGATAGATAATGGCTGCTGGGGAGTCAATCCCAATGTCCATTTTAGGCCAGCTGCTGGTGTAAGCGGTGATAACGTCCCATCTGAGACTTTCTCCTGAGGCCTCAGGATTGGCCCACTTGCTTCCTCTTCTGATGGTTTTACATCTTTTACTTGCTCACTACTGCACAGAAATGTACAGAACCAAAACCAAAAATCTAAAAGCTTTTCCCTACTTACCTGATCCTGAGGCACTTTGGGATTTTTAATTTTAATTTTTCACTATTTTTATTTTGTTTTGAGGCTACTAACAATGAAAAACAAATAGTTAGTTAACCCCTTCTCCCCCCCCCCGCCCCACCCATTTTCTCCTGTATTCTCACTTCCTTCTTTTTACTTAAGTTGAGTAGGGGAGTTTTATGGTGAAGCTTTGGGTAAAGAAAGGGCTGTGGTGAGGCTCATTTGCATTTAGAGGAGAGTCAGACCCAGGCATTCCCCTGGGCATTTCAGAGCCAGGCATCCTGTATGACTGTGGGGGGTATTGTGATAAGGAACTGTAACGGGGACTTAGTTCACGGCAGATGTGGGTCAGGAGCAAGGAGGAAAGTATCGGTCATGTATGCCACCTCCCTACTCTTTCCTGTTGTTCCCATTAGTTTCTGAATAGCGAAGCCTGCTCTGGGGCCGTGTAAGGAGCAGAGCGGAGTTTCAGCCTCACTGAGGTGGACGTAAAAGGAATAGGCAGGGAATTCTCAGGCAAAGGAAGCTGAAAGGAAGGAGTTCCTGGGACAGAAGTCAGAGGCTGCTGGACGAGAAGCCAAACTTCTTTTCAACAGGCTCCACTGAGGTCACTGGGAAACTGAAAAGCAACTTGCTTCTTCTTCAGAATGAAGACGTGTACTGACCCAGTTTAAAGCCACCTACCCTGATTTTTCCATTCGTATCCAGATTCATATCCATGTCAGTTCCCCACAAATCCACACCCATGCTCCCAGCACAAAGCAATGCAATCGCATATATTTGCAAATTCACACCTGCAGTAGAGCTCCCCTTCCATTCACACCCTATTAACCACATAAAGTGCACATTTTATGGCCACAGATGCTTAGAAAAGACAAAATCCTTTAGTCTGTCTGGATTCAAAAGTAATCTGAAAAATTAATCTTTAGCCAATACCTGGAAACAATGTGGGAAAGTCCTCGCATGTACACGAAGTCGTGGATTATTGAAGTTTTCACCCAGAAAGAAAGAGAAAAAACTTCTAAATCTAATGATGTGTGACCTCAGATGGGAAACCTAATTTTATATGTTAATATTTTCAGTGTAAACATACTGCTAATTGTTTTGTTTTGTTTTGTTTTTTTGAGGAAGATTAGCCCTGAACTAACATCTGCTGCCAATCCTCCTCTTTTTTGCTGAGGAAGACTGGCTCTGAGCTAACATCTGTGCCCATCTTCCTCTACTTTATATGTGTGGTGCCTACCACAGCATGGCCTGACAAGCAGTGCATAGGTCTGCACCTGGGATCCGAACCGGCAAACCCCAGGCCGCCGAAGTATAACGTGCGAACCTAACCGCTGTTCCACCGGGCCAGCCCCCATACTGCTAATTGTTGAACAGCTGTCTCTTTAAAGGAGAGAAAAAGCTGGGTTTATGCTAACTGTTCCCTAAAATCAAGAGTCCGGTCTACATACAACCAACGAGAAGAAGGAGTGTGGTTAAGTGGAAAGAGGGAACCTAACTCACCATCAGAAGAACTGAGGATCAGTGATACAAAACCTGGCTTTCCCTGTTATTTATTATAATTTTGGGCAAGAGCTTTTAAAAGTCCTGAAGAACACATGTTCTGGAACATCAAGTTTGTTTTCTGCAACAGAAGCTGAAACTGAATTCTGTTGTGGATGGGGAGAGAAGGTTACTTTGTATTTCCCTGTTAGAGCTCTGTAGACCATTGGAAAGTTAGCAGGGAGAAGAGCGGGGAAGGAGAGGGGAAAGAAACAGGTGTGGAAAGTGTAATTTGATTTTTTTCTGAGATGTGTGGATGGAGAGAGAGGAAGGGAAAGAAAGACAGTGCTGACAGGTAATGGTGTAACGCAGGAGTCTCCCTGCCTTTCCTGTCCCCACAGGGGATTCTCTCTCATAGCTACAGCCTTGACAGCAAAGCTACTCAGCATCCATTCCCCCCTCTTCCTTCCTAACAGATTCTTGATTATGCTCAGATAACCATCCTTTCCCCTTTCTAATTTCAGGAGAAGACAACCACACCCTCACTTCTGGAGGTAGATCGTCATTAGTTTAAGCCAATCAACAGATGACATTCCTCTGGCTACAATTGGTCCAGGGGTAAGCATGGTGACCTAAGTTTGCCCAAACAGATTGAAGGGAGGGACTTATATTCCATGCTTGGTGAGAAGTTATCCTTTTCTATTGCCAGACTTAAAAAGGAAGCCTATACTCCCAGTTGCCCTTGGCAGTCATCTTTCAACTACAAGGGGAACCAGCCATAGGATGAACCCTATGCCAAGAGGAACAGACACCTGAGACCTTGATTATGTCGTTGAGCTCCACCTGGAGCCTACATTAGGAGGACTTCCTGTTATATAGAGTGTTATGGACTGAACTGTGTTCACTCCAAATTTGTAGGTTGAAGTCCTGATCCCTAGTACTTTAGAATGGCACTGTATTTGGAGATAATTAAGGTTAAATGAAGTCCTAAGGGTGGGCCCTAATCCAATATGACTTCTGTCCTTGTAAGAAGAAAGAGAGACACTAGGGATACATGAGCACAGATGAAAGGCCATGTGAGGACACAGCAAGAAGATGGGGACCATCTGCAAGCCCAGGAGAGAGGCCTCAGGAGAAACCAGCCCTGTTGACACCTTGATCTTGGACTTCCAGCCTCCAGAGCTGTGAGGAATAAATTTCTGTTGCTTTAGCCCTCCAGTTTGTGGTGTTTTGTTTCGTTAGCCCCAGCAGACTAATACATAAGGTAATACATTTTCTCACTGCTTAAGAAATGTTGAGTTGAGATTTTCTATTACTTGCAGCCAGAATCATTTTGACACAGGATATTCGTGATCTCCTTCCCTGCCCCTTTCTGCAAGTCTTTTTTTTTTTTTAAGATTGTCACCGGAGCTAACATCTGTTGCCAGCCTTCTTTTTCTTCTTCTTCGTCTTCTCCTCCCCAAAGCCCCACAGTACATAGTTGTATATTCTAGCTGTAGGTCCCTCTGGCTGTGCTATGTGAGATGCCATCTCAGCATGGCTTGATGAGCAATGCCATGTCCCCACCCAGAATCTGAACTGGTGAAACCCTGGGCCACCGAAGCGGAGGGTGCAAACTTATCCACTTGGCCATGGGGCTGGCCCCTCTGCAAGACTTCTCTATGCTGCTTTGTCACTTGTTTTCTGTTTCTCAGGGCACAGAAGCCAGTTGTTTCTATTGCATCCTTGCCTTTAGATGGGGTTTCTAGGAAAATAATTTAAAAAGACATATTTGGGTCCATATGTGCCAATTCCAAAATCTCAGAAGAGAAAGCCAGATTGGTGCAGCTTGGGTCTGGTTAGCACCCTTGAACCAATCAGCTGAGGCTAAGAGGACAGGAGACATGGAGTAGTTGAAAGGGATTATGGGAGTAAACTCTTAGAGAAAGAGAATGGGCATGTTTCTCTTATAGGAGATATGGGGACAAGCAGGAAATAATTGGCTTTTTGAATATAGAAATCTTATTCATCATTATATTCCTAGTCCCTAGCACATATAATGGATCTGAGTAAATCTGACTTAAACTAAGGAATAAAAGATGGGCAATTGCTGGAATATAGAAAAATATTGAATCCATCTTTGTTTAGTGAAAGAGACACAGATCTATCTTGGTCTGTGTAGTGGATGGTGTGGTTTGTAGTCCAGACACCCTCTCCCAGCCCAAGCCTGAAGAACTCATTCCTCCAGCCGCTGGGAGTACTGGCAGCTGATGTGTTTCAGCTGAGTCTCTCTCAGAATTTTCCTTGGCTAAAGAGTGCTTCCTAGTCCAAGGCCAGGCCTCCTTCCGGGAGGCAATTCATGTCCAAAAACTGGTGAATGCGGAGATATACAGACCTAGCCTTGTTGTTTCAACTTGGGCAACTCTGGAGAACTCATCCCGACTCCAGAGCTCCTGATAGGATGGCCTGTGGCATTTGTTTCGTCTGAATCACAGTTCAGCTTTTCTCATTGCACAACCTTGTTTCTTTATTTCCCCACAGGAGTTGATTCTAAGAGTAATCCCCGATAAAGCTCCCGCAGGCAAATCTCTGCCTCAGAATTTGGTTCATGGTGAATTCATCCCGCAACAACTGGTGCCTGAGTGTCTGAGATAGCAGACTCTAAGAGGGGACTTTGGAAATGGATCACTCATGGGCCAAGTATCAACGGGAGCCCCGTCCATGTTGGTAGAAATAGCAAATAGTCCATGGCATGCTGTAGCAGGACAATGTTTAAAACTTTCACCAATGGTGAACTTGGATCGTATATCAGCGGAAGGAATGCACTGATGGATTCAAAGTAACACTCATTTCAGAATGACAGAGGAAATAATAAATACAAGGACAATGAAATTGGTTGGTTATTTCTGAGGGCCATGGAATCTCTGAAGAAACATAATGAAAGGGTGATTAGTTATCAATTAAAGGCTAAGTACGAAAGCCAGAGGGCCTCCTTGGTAGCATAAAAGAGACTCATCTTCTGCAGCTGTAGGTCCCCAAAAAGCTGAGGGTGACAAGAGTAGCAGAGCTCTAGAGAGAATTAAATTCTCAGCCACAGCAAGTCTGCTCTGCTCAAGTCAGGGCTCTGACTGGGGAGGAGCAGGCTCCTGAGATAGGGGATGGAGATGTCTGGCTTGATGCACTTGACAGTATTAAATCCTCAGATTCCTCTCCAGACGTGGCTCACTCTGTTAAAGGCTAATTCTCTCCCTTCAGGGAAGTAGACAGTTCTCTCCCTAAATAAGCAAGTAGACAATGACTGTTTATGTCACCCAGGCTCTGTCATCAGTCACCCCAGTGCTGGGTACTGCGTACAGGAACAGGGTAGACATGGTAGCAAGGACAGAGCCCACGCCCTGGTCCTACAGAATGGGTTGCCACATACCAGGACTGATCCAGCTGTTGTTGCTGCCAAATGCTGCTGAGACCAACCCTAGGCCCCTGATATGCCACTTGGTGGCAAGTTAACTACATTGGATCTATTTCAGCAATTCATCTCGACTGGAACTGACACACATTCTGGGTACCACTCGTGTCTATAGGACCTCATCCAGCATCATTATCTGAGAGCATACAAAGTGTTTCATTGCTGACATGGGATCCTGGGTGACATCTCATTGGACTAGGGGACCCATGTTACAGCATAGGAGATATAGCAGTTCATACATGATCTTAAGATCCGCTAGCCCTATCACATACTATTCCACAGAGAGGCTGCTGGTTTGATAAAGTGATGGAACAGCTTTGATTAAAAACAGATGTAATAAAACCCATTGAGGTGCCAGCTTGGAGAGAACTCAGAGAGGATGTGGGCACCAGTCTCCAGGATCAGTATATATCTTTTTTTTTTTTTGAGGAAGATTAGCCCTGAGCTAACTACTGCCAGTCCTCCTCTCTTTTGCTGAGGAAGCCTGGCCCTGAGCTAACATCCGTGCCCATCTTCCTTTACTTTATATGTGGGACCCCTACCACCGCATGGCGTGCTAAGCCGTGCCGTGTCCGTACCCGGGATCCGAACCGACGAACCCGGGGCTGCCGAGAAGCGGAACGTGTGAACTTAACTGCTGCGCCACCAGCCAGGCCCCTCAGTATATATCTTAAATCAACTAGCATTGTATAATGTTGAGTCTCCAGTAAGCAGATGTGATAGAGTCATTTACAGCTGGACTGGAAAGACTGTCTCTTTGTCTCTGGAGGTGTCTGGTTTTCGACTCTTAGCCAAGATAAGAGCAGTGGGATTTATGATGTGCTGTCAAAGGCCTGAAACTCCCAAGGCCAATTTCTTTACTGACAGTCTTCAACTGGCCTAACCGGCTTGACAAGCCTGGCCAAGAGTGCATGAAAACTCCATTGGGAACTTCTGCATTTAGACTTCCCAAAGCTAAGCTTCCTTGCACAGATATTTGGTGGTTTGACCCAGATTCAGAGTGCAATTGTGTTCGAATAAGGACCCTGGGAAGTTATATATGCAATATCTCTGAGACTTCCAATGTATGCTCAAGCTTGCCATCTCTTACTGCAACGTATTATTTGCCTTTAAATAAAAGCCGTAAGTGAGTCTGCTTAGTCCTTTCAAATCTCTGAACTTGGGAAATCTTTGCAGTAAAATATATGGGTCTGGGAAACAATGGATGAGTGCAGGATTGGCTCCACTAACCATCACTCCCCAGTAACGCACTGGGGAAGCTGTGTTCACTGTCTCTGAAACTCTGCAGATTTGAGATCCTGCTTCTCAAAGAGGAAACACTAGGGGACACAGCAAGTGTTTCATTAAACCTTAAGCTATAGCTGTCACTCAGTTTCTTCAAACTCATTGTGCCAAAAGACTTGCAGTCAAGGAAAGGATTCACCATCCTGGGAGAAGTAATTAACTCTCATCATCAGGAAAGAATATGTTTGGCAACCATGTGATCTACTTGGCTTCTTGATACTCCCTTGCCCAATTTTTTTTTTTTGAGGAAGATTAGCCCTGAGCTAACATCTGCTGCCAATCCTCCTCTTTTTGCTGAGGAAGACTGGCCCTGAACTAACATCTGTGACCATCTTCCTCTACTTTATATGTGGAACACCTGCCACAGCATGGCTTGCCAAGCAGTGCTATGTCCGCACCCCGGATCGGAAGCACCAAAGCGGAACGTGTACACTTAACTGCTGTGCCACTGGGCCGGCCCCCCAGTTTTGACTGTGAATGAACAAGTAAAATAAGCACATCTGGAGAAGGGGATGATGACCAGGGTCTTAGACCCCACAGGAATGAGGTTCTGGGTCACCCCACCTAGGTAAACCACGTAGGCCAGAAGGGGTAAAGGGAATCTAGAAGTGGTAGTAGCGGACAATGATGATGAGTGTTAGTTATGGTCTTGAGCTAAGCTGCACGGTGGGTGCTGGAGTGCATTTCACTAACCTTTCTCTCACAATTCTTTCCCCAACTCCCTGCTTCCAACAGGTCCTTTAAAATCCTAGAGGAGCTGCTCTTAGAACTTATTTGAAGCGAGTGGATCCGAGAAGCCCAGGGATGGACTGTGGACCACCCAGACCCCCAAAGGCAGGACGGAAGCTCCGAGTCCCCCAGCTGCTGAGAATGGTGTCAGCCAACAGTTCTCTGCCGAGCCTTTCTCCAGGACCCGGCCTTGGTTGAAGAGTGCCGCCTTGCCGGAGGCCTCCCCCGTCCCAGGCGTAGCTCATACCCAATGTCTGGTTGTTGTGGGGATATAAAATCCTGATCCTCTTGCCCAGTTTGGAGTAACTCTGGAGTGTCATCCTGTCCCTAGAGTTCCCTTTAGGATTAGCTGAGGCCTTTGTTGTGACTGTGTCACTGTTCAACTTTTCTCTCTGCTCAGTTTTACTTCTTTTCCACCCCCAGAGGTTTTGTCGTTGAGAGTGCTCCGCACTAAACATTCTGCACTCAATCTCTGTCACAGTTTGCTTTTCAGGGAACTCAGCCATCTGAAGGCATCTTTCCAAACCCGGCCTAGTCCCCACGGAGCCCGTAATTGCCCTCTCACTTTTGATGGAAGACTACAACGGTTCTCAAACAGTATTTCAAGGAAGCTCTGGGTGGAGGTGCTTCACTGCAAGTGTTTAATTTCAATAGCATTCCTGAAAGACCATTTTAACCATGAAAACCACAAAAACCAACAATAAGCACTATTGCAACGATAAAAACTATTTTAAAACTGTGAACACAGAAATGTAAATGTGTTCTATACTAAATTTTACACATCTTTGACAGTGTATTAACTTGTGGTGCCAGCTCATATCATTTCCGGGCAGACCTCAGAAGAAAGTTTCTCTTTCATTATGGCGCATATATTTCAACTCTTAAAATGTGTTGCCTAATGATGGGGACACATTCTGAGAAACGCGTCGTTAGGTGATTTTGTTGTGCCAACATCATATAGCTT